CATCCCCTCACCGGCCTCACCTTCGCCGTCTCCGACGTGTACGCTCTCTCTACCCACTTCCCATCTGTTTGTTTCTGGAAAAAAAAAAAAAAAAAAAAAAAAGAGTTGAAACCCAAGATTTTATTAGAGTGGAAAAACAGAAAGTATTTCTGTTGGCTGCTGAGAAAAAGGAAAAGATTGGAACTTTGAAAGTTTCAGTCTTTGCCTTTTGATCAGCTTTGTTAAAACTGATTGAAGTTATTGCTAGTATAGATAGTTGAAAGGATTTTTTGAATTGGGTTGCAACCCGGATGGCGAAAAGGCCTGAAATTCATGAACTGTGTAACGGGTTTCGGTTTACTTGCTGTGTTTTAGTGATTGAGAGGGAGTAATTAGTTTACTAAAAAAACCAGAACATCTATGGAACACAGGATGGCAGTTACGGCTGAATTCGAATGCGACATTAAAAGAATAAATGAACACCTATTTTGCAGTTGTAATTTTTGAGACTCTTTGCTTGTGTTAAAAGTGGACAACTTTGTGACATGGTTGCAGATTTGAAATTGAGGGACATGTAACTGGTTTTGGTCATCCTGATTGGGGAAGAACACATGATGCAGCTTCTCGGACATCGCCTGTGGTTTCCACTCTTGTCGAAGGAGGTGCTACATGCACTGGGATAACTGTTGTGGATGAATTGGCATATAGGTATGTATCACTTTGAGCTTAATGTTCCCTCGACGGGCTGAAGGTGCTATCCCTAATGTGATTGTGAGGATCTCTGATCAATGTGAAAAAGGAAAATAGTTTGGAGGATCAACACAAACTAATGACATCTCTATTTCCTTTCAATTTCTCTAACTCTAGCTTAGTCGGCATTGCATAATTCCAATTCTCTTTGGCGTGTTTATTTTCAGTATTACTGGAGAAAATAAGCATTACGGTACCCCCACCAATCCAGCGGCATCTTCCAGAACACCAGGTGGATCCTCTAGTGGAGCTGCTGTGGCTGTAGCCGCTGATCTTGTTGATTTTTCACTGGGTGAGCTTCTTTTTCTTATCCTTTCTGAAATTGTTCTTTATTTTCTTTACATTTCCTCTTGAGTTTTGTTACTTGTGTTATTAGTCTTTGAACATGGGAAATGGCATATGTGAATGACTTGGTTTCGTTCCTTTGCCTTTCTAATCTGAAAATTCTCTTATTTGGATACTCAGCATGTTCTATATCTCCTTGTATCTCACCAAACTCTCTTTTCAATTTCAACAGTGCAGCATCTGTAATACTGTAATATTTACTTCATGCTAACATCATGGTGCAGGCCTTGATACCGTTGGTGGCGTTAGAGTACCTGCTGGGTCTTGTGGCATCATTGGATTCCGAGCTTCGCATGGCTCTGTTTCTCATGCTGGATTTATACCTGTTTCTACAAGTCTGGATGCTGTTGGTATGTATGGATGCAATTCTGTATGTTGCCAGGCTGCAGCAATATATGTTAATGTGCAAACATCCGTGCCTGAAAACTTGTAACTTTTTGTCTCTTAATTTATTGCTATTGTGGGATATTATTTGACTTTGTAAGATCACATTTACAGGATGGTTTGCTAGGGATCCTAGTGTCCTGCGTCGTGTTGGACACGTGCTGCTGCAACTTCCTTATGCAGTTTCACGCAGTCCAAGACAAATTGTAATAGCTGATGATTGCTTTCAAGAAGTAAAGATTCCCGTTGATAGGATTGTTCAAGTGGTTATCAAATCCACTGAGAAGCTTTTTGGAAGTATGTTCTTTTCCTTTGATTTACAGATCCATTCTTTGGCTCTCGTCCATGGTGGACTGCTGGTTTTGAAAATTTTCTGATTGAGTTCTCGATAAACTGGTCCAGAACAAGTGTTGAAACATGAAAATCTTGGGGACTATTTCAATTCAAAAATTCCAAGCTTGAAAGAGTTTCATGGCCAAAAGACAAATGGTGAAGTAAAGACTTCATCCCTCAAATTGCTTGCCAATGTTGTGCAGTTTCTTCAAAGGTGAGCTGATTAATCAGTAGTCTGTCTTCTGTATATGTCATAATTTTGAGACCAAATGTTCCTGGCCTTGTTCTTCTATTCCAATTATCTTTAGTGTATTCTTATGGTAGAATCGGAAGGGCAACGCTAAAACTCATGCAGTTTGGGGAAGTGTGTGCAAGATTTTAAAAATTTAAAATTAGTAATTTTCAACCTGAGAATTGGTAAAATATACTGTCATAAGGAGGCAGTTTTTCACTTTGTTTATCCGTTTGTCTTTGATTTCGAAAATTTTCCTGGATCATATAGTATTGGAGCTTTATTGTGTTTCTTGTTACAGGCATGAGTTCAGACATAATCATGGGGAGTGGATTGATTCCGTGAAGCCTGTTTTGGAGTCTGCTACTTCAACGCAAATATGTGGGCCACTGGAGGCATCCGATGAGGAGATTGAGATATGCAAGTCAATTAGGAATGAATTACAGGCAGCTGTCAGCTCTCTATTGAAGGTAGCCATTTTAATTATTAATTTATTACTTGTTAATATTTTACGATTTCAATACATTACACATACATGCACACTTTGAAGCACACATATGTTCAGATTGTCTTACTAATTACAAAGCCAAATTAGCTTGACTGGACTGGACTGTCAAGTGCTTTTTTTTGTCTGACTTCACTGTAGTGGCTGTTCTCACATACCACTATAATCTTTTAGGCTACATTGTTCCGCAAGATAACATGAATGAATTCCATTTCCTTACCACAGAAGGACATCGTATAATATAAATTATAGTGTTTCCTTTTGTAATTATCTAATGTGTTTATCAAGGTTTGTTATATGGATTACGATTTCTCTTTTATTTGCTTGTGTAGGATGATGGAATTTTGGTTATCCCAACGATAGCTGACCCCCCTTCGAAACTTGGCGGGAAGGAGATGCTCTCTGAGGACTTCTGCAGTCGTGCTTTTGGTCTGTTAAGTATTGCGAGCCTGTCAGGTTGTTGTCAGGTGAAAATCCATCAATCTCTCTCTCTCTCTCTCTCTGATCTTTTAGTATCTTTGTGTATCATTATGTATTCATTACATATACATAGTGATAAGTTTGTATTGATTTTAGTTTCTCCTAATCTTCTGTACTCCGTGGATGTCTCCTCTTCAGGTCACAGTACCTCTGGGCTTTCATGACAAGTGTCCTGTTTCAGTTTCTTTCATAGCCAGGCATGGGGGTGATCGCTTTTTACTGGATGCACTGCACACTATGTATACATCTTTACAGGAGCAGGCTGATATTGCTTCAAAATCCAAATCATCCAAAAATGCTCTCACCAAGGAACAATGTGCTGAAATTGCCAAGGAAAAGGTAGGTCATCGCTTTCATGGTCATCGTCCATTTTGCTTTTCAAGTCGTTGTTTTCTTTGTTGATTTGCTTTGTAACATGGGACATCGTGTTATCAAATTTCTGTTGGAATTTACATAATATTATTTAAGCTCTGTTCCGTCGACTTATTATCTCTTATTCTGCATGGAAAAGTCAAAGTACCTCTAGGATCATCAGTCCCGATGATCAAAAATCATTGTTGAATGGGGAATTGACACGAATAATATTTCTACCAAGTCTTATTTACATAACGGCTATTCAAGTTTGTTTCCGAATTGCATTTGCATATCCTAAAGCCTCTTCTGATACCTTTACAAAATAATTAGGGAAATCAAGCATACAAAGATAAGGACTGGCAGAAGGCTATTGGCTTTTATTCTGAAGCTATCAAACTTAGTGGCAATAATGCAACGTATTACAGTAACAGGGCTCAAGCATATCTTGAAGTTGGAAGGTACCGCTATCTGTTGGGACATTTATTCTCTCAATTGATCTCTTGGGGTAGGTCTCTAATTTACTTCTTCCGTCTAGATTCATTCAAGCCGAGGCAGATTGTACTAAAGCTATCAACCTTGACAAAAAGGTAACTCCTTTCCAAAAGTATTAATTATTGGATATTCCCAATTATCGGTTGAATGCTGTAGGCCCTATGGTGCTCCTTGTGTTCTTCGAGTGCAGATTATTGATTGCATTTTTATAACCATTGTTGTCTACTTTTGTTTCTTCAGAATGTGAAAGCTTATTTCCGAAGAGGCACTGCAAGGGAGAAGCTTGGTTATTATAAGGAGGCGATTGAAGGTCAGATTTGTTTGTTTTGTTTATCTTTTTATACTTTGTTCTGACGGACGGACAGTATTGGCCCCATGATCAACCCTTAAGCTAGAAACCAAGTGTCAGAGTTTAAGGAAAACAGTGTTTATCGGGTGCAAACTAGATATTTGAAATTTGAGATTGGATTTGCAACTTCTTTGTCAAATTCACTCAACGGACGAGTAGTGTCCACTGGTTGCAGATGTGAATTGTTTTGGTATTCTATTCAGAGCTCAGAACACACTCATTAAGCACATCGAGTTTTTTTTTTTTTTTCAATTCATTCATCCCAATCTCCTAAAGTAACTTCGGTTTGATGGCACTTCATTCTGCAGACTTTAGACATGCACTTGTTCTTGAGCCAACCAACAAACGAGCAGCCGCTGCTGATGAGAAATTGAGGAAGCTGTTCCAGTAGCTTATTGAAGCTCGCTCGGCCAGGAAAAATCCATTTGAACTAGACAGTCAACAATTCCCATGTCTAAACCAATTGAATGAGAAGAGGGATGACGAGACTCGAGAGAAGTTGAGAATCTTTACTCTTATGATCACGGTGGTTTTTTGGGGAGGGGCTGGATTATTGTTTGATCTGATCATTTTTTAGGAGCCTTAGGTAAGTATTATAATTCTCCCCAAAATTTGTAACTATAGTCCAATTTTGTTGCTTTTAGATGAGGTTTAAAGCCGATCATGAGCACAGCTATTACAATATTTATCTTTGCCTTCGCATTGTAATTTTCGCACTCGTTCTTGTACTTTGATTGATTTCACTGGAAGCAGTAGCGTAAATAATGTCATTCGATATGCTCGGCTATGGGTAGATGTAAAGGGTTCAGCCAAAATACAAACTATTGGATTGAATAAGAGGGAAAGAACCCGTTTACCAGTAAACTCTAACGAGTCGTTGTTTGCCCTAGTCAAATTCGAACAGATCCAGCTCTTCTTCTGTATACTCCGGGAGTGAAGCTCTCGTAATCAGTGGCTGCCTCGGCCTTTTAGCTCCGGTTGTTTTCCCAACTTCTTGATCATCAGGAATCTCAACTGGGTTGATAGGTCGGCTCGTGCTCGATGGATTGTCACCCTCAGCCACTCCGTCAGGATTGTTGGCCTTCTTAGCTGCGGCAATTACCTCATTGTCAACACGGTCTTTTCTATTTGCCATTTTTGTGGTTCCATGAGGCATTGTCTTTTTCACCGATGAAGAAAGAACCTCCACGTCCGCGGTTTGACTTCCACGCTGCTTGAGGCCTGAGCAGCTCATTCCTGGCGCCGCAGCATGATCTGTTTCCATATGTTTCTCAATGTCAAGATCGCTCCCTCTTACTGCAGAACTTTGTCTTAGATGATTCATGATTTTTTCGGTGCTTTCCTGTCGCGGAGGGAACTTTTCTTGTGGCGCCCAAAACCTCGTATGACTTACCGCAGCACTGTCTGTTACGAAGAAAGGAGATTAAACCATAAAAACTACTGTGAGAATCTCATCGCTCGCACTGCATAGAAAACTGGGACACTAGAAGCTTTGCAGCAATACGAGAAGATCGAATACACAGATACCATCGACTTATGATTTATGACTTACCACTGCTGGGAGCGGGACTGTTGACTGATGAAATAGGAAGATCGTTTGTCACGATAGGTCTACCATCCTTGGAGATGACCTGCAAATGTAACAATTCATCATCATACAGAAAACAAAGTGATCAGAGTTCACCTTCGATTCTGTAAACTTCACATAATTGTGGCGCCAAGGCCACAGAAATGAAAATTGGGGACAAAATTGATGGTTTAGAGTCTCCAGACGCGTTGTTAAATGATCAAAGATGACTGTGCTCTCTAGTTTATGTGCCCACCGCTACTCAATTATCCTCCCAACACAAGAAAGAGAACGCACCTGAACCATGTTGTTCTTGGTTATGTTAAGATAGCATGCCGAGCGTGAGGGAGAGAACACAGCAACCTGATAAAAAGCATTGAACTCAAGCTTAGAGAAAATTTCGCGAGGTTGGCATTTCGGCCTACACCCCAAAGGCCCGTTTCGCTTTTCTAGATTTTACAGGTCGTTATATTCGTAATCCCAATCTGCTGGATAACAAATAACAAACCTTCTTGAGTACCAACACTGCACCAACAGATATGCTCTTCCCGAAGTCTCCCTCAGAAAGCACTGTGTGGTGGATGCTAGCACCAATTGTACCTGTAGGATCCTGACACCAAAATTTCAGCCACTTAGACTGTCTCCACAAAGTGAAAAGATTGACGCGAGCAGTGCCTAATTTAGAGAGAGAGAGTGATCATAATTTATCAATGTCCACCATGTCCATAGAACGTTACCTTGAGAGTGAGCATGAGATCACCAAGACCATTTGGAGTGCACGATTTGATCACAGCAACAACCTAATTAACCAAAAATCACATGAGTTTTCAAACATTATGATATTTTATTATGATGATATACAAAAATAAAAAGTAGAATTAAGCAGATAAAAAGGGTTTTTCTTTCCAGTGTTTTCTCAGCAACCAAACAGAAAAAAGAGTTTTTATTTTTTTATTTTTGCAGTATTTTCTCACCAGCCAAACAGAATTTTGGAAGGATTTGAATTTATCAAATTCAATAATAACAGAAATGGAAATACCTGAGCTACTTTGTGAGTGTTAACCCCCTTCCTGATGGAACCCAGCGGCGTCGGATAGTCGGCGCCTTGCTTTGCAACATAATCGAGAGCGGAAAGCCATGGATCGGCGGCGAAATCGGTGTCTTTATCATCACCATTCTCGACGACTCTCCTAACGAACTCTTGGGTCGGAATGGGCTCGACGTTCTGGTCGTCTCCGTGGAGATGAATTTGGGTCCTGCGCTGCATCGCAGCCTGTACGGCTCCGGCGGGGCCCGGAATGAGAGGCGGAGAGGCGGAAGAGGACGAGGACGGGTTGGGCGGAGGCGGAGGATTTATTGATTTGAGGGGATGGGAGGCTGAGCGCTTGCAAGGGAGGAGACTGAGAGAGATGAGGTCCGAATCGTCGACGTCTAGTTGCTCCCAGGGTTCATTGCTGTCGTCGTCGTCCATGTTCTTGTGGTTTTGCGAGTGAAAGCGCGGGAATTTGACACAGTTGAACAGCTGGATTTTTGGAGGGTTTCATTTTGGGCTGGGCTGGATATCTTATTAAGATGATTGGGCTCACAATCTCTGGCCTACTTCTCAAATAGCACCTGTAAATTTTATTTTATTTTTCTAAAAAATTAGACCAGCTAGTGTCAAAGGCATGTCAGTCATCTTTTTTGTGTGCCGGAAAGACTGATAAAGTCATTCTACGTGTAATTCATTATTATCGTTTTTATTGCATATACAAAATGATATTGAGGGTTTAGGTTGTGCATAAAGTCAATCATAACTATCAAATCTGTAACATCATAATAGTTCAATTTGAGATTTTTTTACTTACAAGTGGAAATAAATACTATTAAATTATAGTAATGTTAATGACAAATCATTTATAATGTTTGACTTAAAAAAAAACCGCTTCAAACTCTATTTTCTCTTGATTCTTTAACGTGAGAACGACGCAAATCAACTTCCCAAATCAAAACCAAAATCAGCTAGAACTAAACTGACAATTGTCAATGTGTTTAATCTAGTTTACTTTTCTTTTCTTTTCTTTTTCTGGCTCAATTAATTTGTATATATTTTATGCCTTATTGGAAATTAGGAGGACCACATGATCGAGGGGTTACGCACAAGGAGATAAGATTTCTGATCTGATTAGCATGTTTCAATTGGGAGGGAAAGTGTAGAAATACAACGAGTGATGGACCGAACGTGAGTTGCTCGATGTCACAATCACATACCTACTTACAACGGGACCGCCAATTAGAATGAGTGTACGAGAATACAAAGGGACCGCCACAATCACGGACAATCTAAAAAGTGAGATTGTAGAAACGTGATATGTATGTTCCAGTTAGACGATCGATCTAGTTAGGGATGAGCACTTGAAACCAAAAATCGAAACACAAATCAAATCGTACTGCATTGAACGGTTCGGTTTTTACAGTTTTGAAATGGTTTTGATTTGAAACCGAACCACTAGGGAAACTGCATACTTTCAGTGATGAACTTGAATATAATCTTTTATTCCTTGCTACAACATTTGAGCATGAATTCAGAGCATTGTGATTATGAATGTGGAAGAACTTGTATTTGTATAGTAGGAAGTGCATGCTTTCATGTAATGCTAGTTTGTTTTGCGTATTCTTGAAGCTGCAATTCAATGTCCAGAACCTTTTGTTTTTTCATTTTGTATGTAAATAATGTAAAAACGAACCGAAACCATTTGAAACCACACCGAATCAAAACCAACGGTTTGGTTCCATTTCGGTTTTGGCTTCAAAACCGCACCTAACGGAACCATGCCCACCCCTAAATCTAGTTAGCAATATTTTCCTTGTGAGATTCATCTCTCTCACCTTGTCATTAGGGGCGAAGCTAGAAAGTTAGTTTATGGGGCTACAATTAAGTAGTGGCGGATGCAAAATTCTATTCTCATTGCATCCCAACAATAGTGCGCACAACGCCTAAATTTTTTTTCTTCAGTTTTTACGGTGAGGCATTTCGTCAAGCACTTGGCTGACCCTTACCATTGTCTTTTTGGCGTGCATCCCAACCTTTTAATGTTCTTTTAATTTGGTCTATAGGTCAATAAAACTAAGAATTAAATCATATATTTTTATAAATACGTAAAAGTTAGAAAAATAACCTTTGCTAGGGATGGAAACAAAGCGGGTACAAAATATCACACTATAACTTTAGTAACTATTACACAAAAGAATGGCAGATAAAGAGAGGGAGTGAGATATACTGATATTATTTCTTTGATTTTTTCTTTCGTAGTGTATATTTGATAACGCACAGAGTGCTCTATTTATAGAACAACTCCCATGACAACCAACAAAACAAAAATGATTACATTTTGAAAGTATCACACAACCACTATTCCCAAGTTTTCATTACTTTGTGTGGGCATTCATTCATTCACTAATTCTATAACATACATGAATATGTAGGGTCGAGAATTCCACTTTATAGGACAATTGGGAGGAAAGAAATTAATGTACCAATCAAATAATAAATTTACACTTGAGAAATGTCGATGTTGTTTAGCTTTTGTCAAGCTCTTCTATACGAGGGAGACAAATTGAGGAAGCGATATGATATTTTAAGGGTAGTTTTTCAAATTGATTTTCAGTCACATGCCTCCCCACTTGGACTAACCAATAACTTCACTTTGATATTGACAGATTGATTAATCGATTCATTTGACCAAAATTGCTTCCTACGGCCATCTTCTTTGTGATTGGAGCAAGCTTCACATTGGAATAATTATCAAGGATTCAACCTCACAGCCTTCGCATATTTATACAAATATTAAATAGGAACCTAACCTATTATAGTTTTTGTTATTTTTGGAACAAACGATATTATCTACATAGACTACACTAAAACGGAGAGAACCTATTACAGTTTTAACTACTCGTAAATGTATTTCACTTTTACAAGTACTTGTAACTGTATGTTATTTTACAACTACTACTTGTAACTATAAATACCCGTTTGGTGAGTTGAATGATATGGAGTCTTAGGAATAGGATTGGGTTGGCTAGAATTGGTTAGACTTTGTAAACATAACTTATAACCCATGTGTATGGATAGCTTAGTAACTCATTATATTGTGGATTTATAACTCATCATCTCTAGTCATGTCCATCTCACACTTTGACACAACAAATAACAAACTGAACTCAAGTTAATTTTAATTGGTCACAACCTTATGTTCTTAGCACGCAAGAGAATGAGTTCGATCCATTTGGTACCAACTACCAAGAATATCTTCACACGAGGTTACTACTAAATTCAAATTTACTTACTTTCACGTATATGTAAGCATATTAATTTTATCGTTTGATTAATACATGAAATGATAATATTGCGTGACGTATTTTTAATACACATATTTCTCCAATCAAAGGAAGACGAGACCGATAAGCCGCCACTACGACGACAACGACGGCAACGACGATAGACCGTGATATGTGTTCCAACAAGTTATTAGTTTAGTTTAAGACAGAGACACAGCGTTATTTGCGGCCTTCACATCTTTGCATGTCAACCTCCACAAGTTGCCCACAATTAAATCCCATCCATCAATCCACAAACTGACAACCGGATCTCCCGGTCACCTCCTCCTCCTTGCCGAAACGGTAAAAATCTTTTAACCTTCCCATCTCTTGTTCCCCTTCAGTCCCAAAATCTACCTCGTTTCAATTTTACATTTACCCCTCTTGTGGTCGGTGGCTGTTCATTTCTCTCCCTTCCCTCACAAAAACGGAGGAAAAAGCATATTCAGCCTAATTTCTCAGAAGGAAGAAAACGAAAACAAAAACCAAGAAAAATCTTCATAGTACCAACTTGGTAGGGCCCTATTCCCATTTTTTCCCTCCGTATCATGTCGTATTAGTCTGGCCTCATAGTAATGTCTTGTGTTATGATTGTCGATCGATCTATCGTTAATACAGTATTGATAATTTATCGTCAGAATATGTGTTCATATTGTCAATTCATTTTCAATTAAGGTTTCTTTCTTTGTGTTTGTTCTGTCAGTATTAATCCTAACTACGAAACAAACGTTCGTTGTTTCTTAGGGTTTCTTTCGTTGTGTTTCATTTCCGTCTGTATCAATTAGGGTTTCTTTCGTTGATAATAGTTTTAATATTTGGTACCCGTTGTCATTTCATTTTCGATTAGAGTTTCTTTCATTGCGTTTATCTTGTTTGTATTAATCCTAACTATGGAACAACCGTACTTCCTTACACGTATGTCGTAGAAATACTTTCAATAATTGTTGTATTTCTGATACAAGATCGATTTGCGTCCGTTTATATTGTCTGCATTTGGTCAACTTTATTGTCCTGTTTTAAATTTTTTTTTTTTTTTTTTTTTTTTTAAAGAAGAATGGTTCTGATTAATTTTTACTGGGGTTGGTAGGTGATAACGAATAATCGAGAATTGTTGGTGGCTAGTATAAAGAGGGAGGGAGATCATAAGACATGATGACAGACTCACCAAAGACACCGGCGAAAGGCAGTAGCAAGTCACTCATGGAGAATTTGCTCGGTCTTCTCCGCATCCGCGTCAAACGCGGTGTTAATCTCGCCGTCCGCGACGTCCGTAGCAGCGATCCCTACGTCGTGATCAAGATGGGTAAACAGGTAATCTCCCCCTCCTCCATTTCTTCATCTTTTTGTTCACTGTTTTTCTCTCTGTTTTTTAATCTTATTTTTTTATGAATTTCTCTGCTAAATTCCTGTCAATTTTGTTAATTACTTTCATGGGGTGTTTTAATTTTGCATCATCAAAATAACTTTATTAAAAATTCCCTTTTTCTTTCATTTGTAATTGTTTCCTTTGGCTTGTAATCTAGTATTTTCATTGTATGAAACTTCCCACGTGTAAGTTTATCTTATGCTGCCAATTCCAAGCCTGGACAAAGGAGGAGAGAGAGCGCGTCAGGTAGTCAATAGCTGGTATTCTGTATTTCACGTCGAATCCCTATGATTTGTAGATCTTTTAATCTTCTCACAATATTTCTGTGGTGCAATTACCAAATTTTTTTTTTTTTTTTTTTTTTTTTTTTTTTTTTACTGTAATGCTTTTAGACTGATCTGATTTGTGCTTTGCTGCGCTTCACAAAGGCTCTGTTTTTTTTTTAGCCTCTATTACTTTTGTTGAATAAGAAATTCAGGAATATGTTCCTTTTATCTTTATATGTTTAAAGATTAAACCTTTTTTGATGCAGAAACTGAAGACTCGTGTAATTAAAAAGGATGTTAATCCTGAGTGGAATGAAGATCTTACTCTTTCTGTCACAGACCCCAGTATCCCAATCAAGCTGGTAAGCTCTAGAAGCACTTTTAACTTTTTCCGTCAAACTTTTGTCATAAGCGGTTTTAGTTACCCAAAAGCCATACGTTTAAATTCCAAACAGATAGAAGATTGATGCCAACGGCCATCATCTCTAGGAGTGAAACTAAGATTCACCTTAGGTGTCACGACAACAGTATCTTAAGTCTATCGGGCACTGCTATGTATTTTAACTTCTCACTTGACAATGCATGATTAGCTTTAGATACCGCTTCTTCTTCTTCATATATCTTAATGTTTGATTCTCCAATTTTCCATTGATTCCTGTTTAGATGAATTTTCATTTTATCTTTCGATTTTTAGTGGATTTTAGTGCCTTCCAAAACCAAAAGATATGAGTTTGTTTGTGTGTGGGTGTAGACTGTGTATGACCATGACACATTCAGCAAGGATGACAAAATGGGAGATGCAGAATTCGGCATCTCAACTTACATAGAGGCATTGAAGGTGAACTTGGAAGGGGTCCCAAGTGGCACGACAGTGACGAGAATACAACCAAGCAGGGCAAACTGCCTAGCTGAAGAGAGCTGCATCCAGTGGAAGGATGGGAAGGTGGTGCAAGACATGTGCCTCAGATTGAGAAATGTTGAATGCGGCGAGGTCGAAATCCAGTTGCAATGGATTGACCTTCCTGGTTCCAAGGGATTATGAGTGCCTCAAGTTCTATGCTTAAGTCGTGTTCCTGCATAATATATGGGCTGGTTGTTGTGGTTGTAAGATTCTAAACATAACAGTTTTTCATAAGCTGGGATGGTTTGTTGACGATCTAAATTTCCATGGTGCTCCGGAGTATAGAATACTCCGAAAAATCCCGTTGATAAGATATGTATAACAAACTCCCGATGTATGTACTTAAATTAGGGTTGAACGATTTTTGACTTTCATCTCTGTCTTGCTGGGTATGATGTCAAGTAGCAAGCTCTTCATGTCTTAGAATCTTGCTTTGTATTATTTATGTACCCATTAATTTGCAGGAAAAGTTATATACAATGGATTATAATAAACGTGGTTGTACATTTGCATCTACTTTGTAACAATGCTTCATCAGTTAATTCCTCCTTCATGCCAGCCCAGGAAATGTTATATTGCTCCTTTATGTCTCTGCTAATTAGCTATGAACAGGGACTCCCGAGAAAGGGTAGAAGAGAATCAGAACGAATATAAGACATACAACGATTACATATGTATGATCATTACGCTTCAACTGGGCTACCATTTCACCTTTTTCTATGCAATCGATATTGGGGATTGGTTAGTCATAATTATCTAACACGTTATTGTCGAACCAGAAAACTCTCATGATGAAATGAGCTTAAATCAAAATACTAAATAGCATGTATATTTATAAAAAAAAAATTCTATCTATTATTGTGGTGAAAATCATAATGCTAGAGGAATCATTACAGCAAGGTATAGAGGGGAGTCATGAACGTCTATGGTCTATAACGTACAATTATTTTTTATAAACGAAATCCTTGCATAGACTTATATAGCTAGAGTTAGGCTACTCCTCTCGTTACTCTCGTTTATTGATTTTGAGTAGAACTCTAGCTTTCTTCAATAGAGAATGTCAAAGTAAAAAAGAAAGTTCCACCGTAAGCCCAATTTCTTGAGATCCAACCCAATACTTTGCTGGGCTGACTTCAAATACCTCCCTTGCCTTTCAGGCCCCTGCCTGAAGTACATCCCTTTTGCCTAGCTATATAGAAGAGTGTGTGTGTGTGTTTGTGTGGATATAGACGACTCTGTAAGTAACTGTGTTTCCAGTTGCAGGGTGATCAGAATCTGAATAAAGTAGATCTACACTTGACTCCTCCAGAGACGACGTCCCAGCCTCCCAGGAACTGTTTTTATCATATATTCGTCCTCCGTACTTGATGAAGCAATCAGAGAGATTCAGAGTAAGCCTACGCCTACCCTAGCTATGTCCATCTCCATTTGGATACGCTTCTTGTCTTAAATGCTTTCTATTTTTCCTCAGCCGGCCATCCCACCTGTATTTTGTACGTACTATCATTGAAGCTTTAAGCGTGTAGAAATGGAGCTCATATATATATATATATATGCACACACATATGCATTTCTACGTTACATCGCTCTCATTGCTGAGCACCTCATCGCATGCATGCAGCTCAGGTACTTACGTAATAATAAATTAATGGCTAAACACTGCATGTATAGCAATGAACAAAATAATTGCAGACATATCTTTCATATCTTTGGTCGGAAAAGGAAATGAAATGCTTCATTAATGGTCCAACCAAACAGCATAAGGACAAACCCTAACCCTCATATGTACCATGAGGAACCGCCGCCGTTTACCACATGAGACCACCGCCATAGCTAAAGCAGCATAACTACGAGATAGGATTAATATGCCTCTCCAGGAAGCATATTGCTCGGCACTTGTGAAACTGAAAGAAGCAATGGAGGAAACTTAGGAAAAGTCGATGGATTTTGTAGATGCAGCTGCAACTCAAGGAGCTAACAGCATCCCATCCAGTTGAACTTGCACCCACTACACTTATGGTATAATTCGATCAATCTTAATCCAATAATTGACCAACAAATATTTAGAAGTAATTAAACAAAAGGTGAAACGTAGAAATAAGAGAGTCAATAATTAATCGACAGTACTAGCTCTGGTTTAATTCTGAATTTGGTTATATATAGGTGAAACCTAGGAATAATACAGAAGGACCGAAAGGCCACCCTGAAGAATTCGAGGGATGAATTTTACGGAATTATGGCATTGGCCATTACGTACTAGTGACAGTATACCTGCAAGTTATGCCATGTTGATGTCCCATTAAACTATCTGAGTTTCTACATTGTGTACGTTTGTCTAGCAGGGTTTTTAATTAAGCAGTGTTAGAGAGTTACTGTTTCTGTTTTTTGGGGAATGGTTATTGCGAAGTGATGAATTGCATGCGTGCATGTTTTCGTGTTTATTTGGTATAATGTGATGGCCTCTTGTATAAGTGTGGCTATTACAATCGTATTATCAGGGTGAGGAACAGATCTGGAAATATATACGAGCAGAGGTCCTCCCTACTGCAAGACATAATCATGAGTTAGCGTTTAGGGTTTAATAATTAGAGTAAAATACAAAAAACTACCTTAACTATTGCGGTCATGCCAGTTTCATACCTCATCTTTTAAAATTGACAATGTCATACCTCATCTTACGAATTTGTGACAATGTCATACCTCCGTCAATTTTTCTGTTAGTTTTTCTGTTAAATGCTGACGTGGCAATAGACGGGGACCACTTTCTATTAAAAAATTAATAAAATATTATTAAAAACTAAAAAAAATATTTAATATTTTTTAAATATTAAAATAATAAATAAAAGTAAAATTTAAAAAAAAAAGGGTAAAGTACAAAAAACTACCTCAACTATTGGGGTCACGACAGTTTCATACCTCATCTTTTAAAATTGACAATATCATACCGCATCTTATGAATTTGTGACAATGTCATACCTCCGTCAATTTTTCTGTTAAGTGCTGACGTGGCTTGATTCATGACCTACTTTCTATTAAAAAAGTATTAAAAACTAAAAAATAATTATTTAATATTTTTAAAATATTAAAATAATAATAAAAGGCCAAAAAAAAAAAAAAAAAAAGACAATCCAATTTGTCTTCCCCCCACACTCGCACTCAATTTCCCCACACCCACACCCATACTCTTCTCCCTCCTGCAACCCATAAAAAAATAAAAAATAAAAAATAAAAAAAAACCCAAATCTCGTCTGGGGGAAGATAGGTGCACAAAGAAGGTGGAGGATGGGTGCGGGAGAGGATGTGGAGAATGGATGAAAGTGGTGGATTTGGGGTTTGATGGGTTTTCAAAAAAATAATTTTTTTTTTCCTTCTTCGTTTTCTTCCTTCCTCGTTTTCTTCCTTCTTCTTCCGCAGGGGAGTTGATGGTTTTAAAAAAATAAAAAAAAAAAAAAATTTCCTTCCTGCTTTTTTTTCCTCTTCTTCTACTTCTTCTTCTTCCTCCTCCTCCTCCTCCTCCTCCTTCCCCTTCTTGTTCTTCCGCGTTGATAGGGGGGAATTTTTTTTTTCCTTCCTCCTTTTTTGTCCTCTTCCTCTTCTTCTTCTTCTTCTTCTTCCTCCTCCTCCTCCTCCTCCTCCTCCTTCCCCTTCTTGTTCTTCTGCAGGGGGTTGTTCGGTTTTCAAATTTTTTTTATATTTTTTATTTTTTGGGTTTGCAGGTGGGGGGAAGAAAATGAAGATGGGGAGAAGAGAGAGGAAGGGGGAGGGGGAGGGAAGGGACAAACTGATGGTTTTTTTTTTCTCTGCTTTTATTATTATTTTAATATTTAAAAATATTAAATAATTGTTTTTTAGTTTTTAATAGAAAGTATGTCCCGAATCAAGCCACGTCAGAACTTAACAGAAAAACTAACAGAAAAATTGACGGATGTATGACATTGTCACAAATTTGTAAGATGCGGTATGACATTGTCAATTTTAAAAGATGAGGTATGAAACTGTCGTGACCCCAATAGTTGAGGTAGTTTTTTGTACTTTACCCCTTTTTTTTTAAATTTTACTTTTATTTATTATTTTAATATTTAAAAAATATTAAATATTTTTTTTAGTTTTTAATAATATTTTATTAATTTTTTAATAGAAAGTGGTCCCCGTCTATTGCCACGTCAGCATTTAACAGAAAAACTAACAGAAAAATTAACGGAGGTATGACATTGTCACAAATTCGTAAGATGCGGTATGACATTGTCAATTTTAAAAGATGAGGTATGAAACTGTCATGACCGCAATAATTGAGGTAGTTTTTTGTACTTTACCCTAATAATTAATTCCTAAATAGATACGTAAATGGAAAGGAAAACGATTTATGCACTTTCTTCTTCTCGCATGTCACCCCTTTTTTTATTATAACTGTTAGTTTGAGTTTGTTAAAAAAAAAAAAAAAAAAAACAAAACAAAACAAAACAAAAACTGTTAAATTGAGTAAATCAAGAGACTTGAAGGACAAAAACAAAAGAAGAAATGCAAATAGAAGAAACGAGAGTACGTAAATCATTTCCTTGGTGAAAAATGGTTTCAAATTTGGTTTGCTGCTTTGCCTCGAGCCTCTACATAGAGGCCTTTGGGTGGCTAAACACATGGACCAATCTTCAATTTTGTGGCCCAATGGATATGTACCAGCTAAGCATCCTCTATTCTATAGGTTTTTAGTTAACTACTTATCAAACCTTACTTAATTGAGAGATTTTCAATATATAGAGAACATGGTTTGGTATATCTAAATATTATAATATAAATAATTTGATATTTGAATAAAAACAATTCAAATCATTTGTATTGTAACACTTAGTATATCACGTTATGTTTCATGCACAATAAAAAAATTTCTCCACTTAATGGGTGTGAGCACGCAATAGTAGGTGCCCTAGACAATCCCTAATTAAAGTGCAACAAACTGTGAGTTGATTTGTTTATCCACTAGTCCAAAAGATAAGAGATATATGCCTGCTTTCCCTAATTATGAGGCTTTAATTTATTCAAATACCAAACACACATATATGCGATGTATCGCTGAAAAAACTAATTTCATACCCTTTTCATTTTTTAAAATTGCTTCTTTTTTGTAATTAATTGATGGACAAACGGCCTTTTTTTTTCAGAGACTTTTTGTGAAACACATGCCTGTGTTTTAAGGCTTTTTCATCCATTAAAATATAATTATTTTTATGTGATGATGATCGACGTATGCATTTACCTAAATTCATCTCCCTTTTCTCCCTATAAGCACCCTAAAAGCTTATGCCAAAGTCAATTTTTGCCGTCCACAAGTTCAATGTGAATCCACACTATATATATATATATATATATATATATATATATATATATATATAAATATACGTCCCAATTTCCAACAAATTAAAGCCACTTAATTAGAAATGTATCCACCATCTTTCTTCTCTTTGGTAAAATGGAAGTGTCCACCATCGATAAGGATCCATACCAATATTACCTTAAATATT